ATTATTCCTTTATTATACTATATTGTAATATACTATATTATTCCTTTATTATACTATATTGTAATATACTATATTATTCCTTTATTATACTATATTGTAATATACTATATTATTTCTTTACTGTATTATATTATGATATTGGTTAGACTGTTTAATATATCAAATGCCATCGCTTTCTAATTTTATTTTTTATTATTATACTTTTATTATACAAACTGTTTTGGTAAAACGGCATATAAGTAAAATCAGTTTAGTTTCGTAGCGCAGCTTTGACAGAGAGAATCCAAGACGACATTACAGTTGTACCAGTAATGGGACTACTGAACGTTCAGAAAGCTGTTAGACGTCCTACAAGTATCATGCATTGTTGTTCAGTCTTATAAAGGTAGAAAACAAATGCCATGAGCATGTGGATTAACCCTACTTTCATCAGATATTTAGTTGCTTAGATTTTCTAAATATTTCATGTCTTAATTTCAGTTTAGTTTAGGTTAGTGTCGTTTGTAGGAAAAAAAAAGATAGATATATAACATAATTAATGGTTCTGTAAACTTTAAGGTTGAAACACCGAAAATATGTTAACATTTTCTTATTCATGTTCAGATCATTAAAAAAGCTGTTTTCAGGCTATATTTACTTTTTTTCATGAAAAATTCAGTAATGATGTTCAAGGTTTTTGAACAATGAAACCACCCATACAAACACACACATATATATTACCGATTTTAGAATAGTTTTTCATACACTTATTACATTTTTGTGTGTGTATTAATTCTCAACTATCATTTTTAAAGTATAGGGTCTATATTTGATCCCAAGTTTGAAAGGCTTATTTTTTTTCTTTTGAGATTTAGTACTTTTTTTTTGAAATGTTAATATGTATTTTTATAGTACCAATTTTATTTACGTTTCATTTACGCTAAATAAATTGTAAGCAACTGGATACTTTGCAGATTTCGCATATAATCGCAATTGATTCATAGGTGGCTTTTTGGAAGGAATTTAAATTATTTTGAAAACATACAATATTCTCTGCTAGCCCCTTCATGTCTATAACATGTACCATATTGATTTATTTTCACTCCATTTTTGTTGCGGCTAAAACGCCATCCCTATGTTATTACTTTTTATTGCTAGGCTAAGGCGTTGCTATTAATTATTCAAGTCGTTGATGTTAGCGAATGAACAGATGCCAGATTGCCAAAGCAAAAGATCTCCTATAAAAGTAAAAGAATAATAAAGAATACGTATTTCTGCCTGTTTTGGTTTGCGGTTTGAGTCTACTTTTTACATTTATTATGCTCAAGCCAAATTTCGTGTCTTTAATATTAGGTATTAAATATTGTATCACGTATTTTATAACAAAGAAAATTATCTTCATAAAAATGACATCTAAAATAAATGACAGAATATAGCTGCCCTTGTTTTACATGACATTTCCGAATAAAGAATATATTCTACTTGTTCAGTAACCGCTAAACTTCTTTTTTACGAGTTCTAGTGTAATATATGATGGTCATTTCTTATCAGGATTGACAGTACAGTCGCTCAGTAATGGAGACGTTTTTCCATTCAGTTAGCATAAGAACCTTTACAACATATGTTAGGACTATAGGGGTCTTGTTTTTATAACGTTTTAAGACCTACTTAAAATCTTAAGTATCGCGGATTGTATGTTTTTTGTTCCTTAAAAGTTTAACTGCTGAGACATCGCGTGTTATCTTAGCGTACATTGTAAGATCCGTTTTATTTGATCATCCTAAAATACATGCGATAATTTGGCAAAATCGTAAATTATTCTTTCCTTCCTTCCATCAGTTCATCATTTTAATTAATGTTAGCAGATGTAAATAGATATTAACAAGATAATTGTTTTAAAATGGTATCGTTCAATAAAGTTCGTGTTAACACTAACCTGTTTACCGGCACCAAGTAAGTAAATAATAAATATATACTACAAAACAATCCAAATTTAGGTGTAAGGTTTCATGATGGAAATTATGAAATATGATGGTTAAATATATTTAATTAATGAAGACACTACAGGTACTAGAGTGCCAATCGTTCTTTGTTAACTTCAAACATAACATAACATGCTCTAGGCGAAAGAACCGTTAATATTTAATAAGAAAGACTAAATATAGCACATTAAAATATAAACTTGAGAAAATTACATGCTAAACATAGGAACTTCATTTATAATTAGGTACTTTTTTGAGGTAACCGTTAATTGTAAACAGAAAATGTTGAAGTAATAAGTAAATCAGCCAAATGAAGTAGGTCAGTTTGTAATTAACTGCTCTTATAAGGGCGTCTGCCGGTTTATCTAATTAATAAGTAAACCTACAAACATTATTTACGTGTATTAACATCTAATCAACAAATGAATATGAATATATAAGACGGAAATTTGGGTTAAAAAAGGATCGATAAATTGATATACAAATAAATTATTTCTCTAGACCGACCAGATGAACATAAAAATGTCCTAAACCCTCGTGATACCTTATTAAGGTAGCCATAATCCTTACAATACACGATATACGGCTACAGCTTTAACATTTATTATTTCAGTGGCTTTCCTGAAATATATTACAAGCTACTAGAAGAGACTTGAGGGAAAAAAGTTTTATTAATATTATCTTCTAATCATAGCAAGCTATGTACTAAGAGTGAAACTGAAGTAGGTGATTAAACATGCGTTTTTTAAGTTTCTATTTATAAAGATTAGAATGCATTGTTTCATCAGTTGGGCACCTGTTAACGATATTTTAGGCAATAATCCCAAAAACATCTCACGAGGATTGGCCAGGTTTGGAGACTTAGGATAATTCTTAATCCATATATAAAGTTAAAAATGCCGGCATATTGTATATGTAAGATCAGTTGTCGGCATGTATGCGGACTTACAACGTTAGAAACCGGGTTTCGATACAGATAGTCCACTGTGTAGCTTTGTGCTTAACTTTAAACAACAAACTTTTACCTGATGCTCCCAGTGGCACAGCAGCATGTATGCGGACTTACAACGTTAGAAACCGGGTTTCGATACAGATAGTCCATTGTGTAGCTTTGTGCTTAACTTCAAACAACAAAGTTTTACCTGATGCCCCCAGTGGCACAGCAGCATGTATGCAGACTTGCAACGTTAGAAATCGGGTTTCGATACAGATAGTCCATTGTGTAGCTTTGTGCTTAACTTCAAACAACAAACTTTTACCTGAGTGCATTGTATTTTTGCTAGATTTTTAATATGTTCTAACAAAGTTGTTATTTTTGTCGTTGTGAAGAATTTTTTTCTAAATACTACGCAGTCTGCATATTTCCCTTGCTTAATGAGAAATATGAATATTTAGTGACAAAAATTTCGTCAGTTGCACTTCTAATTTAATTCTTACTTTTCTACTTTCTTTCTTTGTTTATACATTATATATGGCTAATGTACGATTTGCGTGACACATGAGCAATAATTCCGGGCTTGAAAAAAAGCAGAAAATTTAAATTAAATTTCGTCCAGTTTTATATCGGTTGAACTATATCAATCTTTCCAACTTGTATTCAATATCTAATTATAAGGTTTCATCAGCGATCATAAGAAAAGGATCATATCATCAGTTCACATATTTCATTTGAATGAATCCACTCAGACCACCACCACCAAACGATCTAATGCTGTTTGGTGGTTGCTTGAGTTAATTTACTCAAACACTGTTTAGTATTCCAATATATATAAAATATATTTTAATTTATAAAAAAAACATTAATTTCACGTTGGAAACGCATTCATAAAACATGATAATGTTTTTAGAGAGACTACTACTAATTCATATACTTCAAAAGTATCTATTATAAGTAATTAAATAAGTTACTTAATTAAAATGGAACTAACATTGATTTCCAAAAAAACTCCATACCCACTCTAGTCTTCTTTTATTGCAAACATTCATTCAAAAGTAAACATATTTGTATCATGTAACTCATGTCAGTTCAGTTTTGGTACTTTTTCTCCTCCGTAATTTCTTCAGGTGCTTAGTAAATCAATCATTCCTTCTGTGCCAACGTAGTATACTGAAAGTATCTCTCCGGTAAAAAAAAAGGGTTGTTGACACAATAAAGTAATATTCTCAAGACACTATATATTAGAACATCTAATATGGTACTTTTTTTTTTTCAAATTTACCTATTACAAATATACCTTATAAAGCCATCTGCAGAAATATCAAACACAATAGAATTTTCCAGATTGTTAAAGCGGTTTTTGGTGCAAACTAAAGCTTACCGGTTCAATAATCTTTAAAAAAAATAGAAACTGTTTTAGCGCACGCTATTTAACTGTAACATTCCCATTTTGTTACCTTGACTTACTATATGCGGCCATAAACAGCACCTGTAACTGGCTGTGTAGTCACGTGCATGAATCCCTGATTGGATTGTGTTTTCTGCATGTCTCCCCCCCCCCCCGCGAAAAAATGAAGAAAACAGCCAACATTCTCTTAGCCCTATAACAAGCAGACGTTTACTTCATCAGTTATCTAGTTGAGGTATTTACTGATATTATGGTAGATAGAACGCAGATAGGCTTCTGTGTAGCTTTGCACTAAACGAAACAAGCTCATAAACAAACTTTAACAAATATAATAAAAAACAACATTTACTAAATTTTTTACTCAATTCACGCAAAAATCAAAATTCCACTGTTGCGTGAAGAGAGATGTACTGTACTTAGATAAAATGAAAAGGCTTTTTTTTCGTGGTTATCAGAAACTAGGACATGAACAGTCCCGTTTCTTTTTTTTCTTCTTACTTTTCGTTTAACCAGTAAATATTTAAGCTCGAAAAAATTATATTTTCCAACTTGTTATATAGACATCAAGCAGATATAGCAGTTGGTTTCTTTCTTTGAATTTTGCCCAAAGCTACGCCAGGGTTATCTGCTTTAGCCTTCCTAATTGTTAAATGATAGAAGAAAGGCAGATATTCAATCCTACCTACCACCAACTCTTAAGCTACTTTTGTCAGGGCTCCGCACGGCCAGGTGGTTAGAGCGCTTGACTCGCAAACTGAGGGTCGCGGATTCGACTCCCCATCCCACCAAACATGCTCGCCCTTTCAGCCGTGGGGGCGTTACAATGTGACGGTCAATCCCACTATTCGTTTGTAAAAGAGTAGCCCAAGAGTTGGCGATGGGTGGTGATGACTAACTGCCTTCCCTCTAGTCTTTCACTGCTAAATTATGGATAGCTAGCGCAGATAGTCCTCGTGTGGCTTTGAGTGAAATTCAAAACAAACAAACTTTTGTCAGACCGAATAGTAGGAGTTGACCGTCATTCTTACAACGTATCCACGGCCCAAAAGCACAGATCGTCATTTTTATGTTATAAAAATAGGTAGTTAGTTATTCTGAACATCACATTAAAGTAGCGCCCCATATATAGTACCTCGTTCCCGGTCTGTTTCTGGTTTAGACAACCAAAATGGACTATCTTCGATTCGATACGATACTACCAAGCATGCCAAACAGTGTCTGGTGTTATAAATTTTAATGATATCTCGCTTCCTTTTTTTATAAAACCCTAAATAACGCAGTTTGCTGTATAATTACTGTATTAATATTGATTACCAAAACGAACTGAAATATCTTAATTTTCATATTTAATCACACGTTTTAATAACAAATATAATATAATAAAAAATGGTTATTTATTTTGAACATTACAGAAAGTAATAAAAGTAGCGCCCCAGATCGATAACCTCTTTTCCTGTCTGTTTCTGGTGTAGACGACCAAAATAGACTCTCTTTGTTCCAATATGACATTACCACGCATGTCGAACAGTGTCTAGTAGTTAAAGAACATCACCTGTAACATTTCTGACTTTGAGGTGCTCATACATTTTCACAGATGAAGCACTACATTTGTCACATTCTGTAGATTAAGATATTTCATTATTCTTATGTTTTTATTACATCCAATGACCCCTTTCATAAGAGTTTGCCTGTTTAATTATGGTTAAGCACAAAGCTACATAATGGGCTATCTGTGCTAAAAAACCCGGTTTTTAGCACTATAGACCGTCAGACTTACCGCTGTACCACTGGGGGTGTCATTGAATATATTCGTTACTGTAATAATAATTGAATTATTGATATTTTATTTTACTAATAAGCTACTTATGTAATGATATAATAACAGCGAAATTAGATATCATAAAGTGATTTGGACTATTTGACGTTACCAGATGAGGATTGGTAGTGTTTTATTAGTCAGAAAACAGTGCCTGTAAGGATAACGATAGAATATTTTCACATAGTAATTAATATTATCGTAAAATACTTCCAGTAAAAATAATTACAAAGAATTTGTTCAAGGCTCAGTTTTTATTTTTATAAACATACTGTTGGCGAATGACATTTTTCCGCCATATTAAACACACAAATTTTTATAAATGAAACTTTTTGATGTAAATAGATGTAAAAAAAGAAAAATTATAAAGAGGGGGAAAAATCACTCATCTAAGCGAAATGTAAGGTTGTTAAAATGTATCTATTTGTCCAACACCAACCCGTTTGGGTTCGTTGAAGTGCGTTTTTTTTTACACTTTCTTGATGTGATTTTCTACAGATTTGTGGTAAAAATTGTGCCACTGGGGGCGATCAGGTAAAAGTTTAGTTGTTTGAAGTTAAGCACAAAGCTACGCAATGGACTATCTGTATCGAAACCCGGTTTCTAATGTTGTAAGTCCGCATACATGCCGCTGTGCCACTGGGGGCATCAGGTAAAACTTTG